GAGGGTGAAGGTTATTATTTGCCTCACCATGCTATTTTAAAAAGCAGTAGTATTACTACTAAATGCCGGGTAGTCTTTGACGCTTCAGCTAGAACTACTTCAGGACTCTCTCTTAATGATGTTCAATATTGTGGCCCAACTTTACAACAAGACGTGTTCTCAATTTTGGTTAGATTTCGTATTTATCAATATGTTATGACTGGGGACATATCCAAAATGTACCGTCAAATACTTGTTAGTTCAAATGAGACAAAGTATCAAAAGATTTTCTGGCGACCACAACCTGATCAAGAAATGAAAGTTTTCAAATTAAATACCGTTACATATGGTACGGCTTCTGCGCCCTATCTGGCTGTTAGATGTTTAGTTCAGATTGCGAATGAAAATGAAATAAATTTTCCGGTAGCTAGCAAAATAATAAAGAGAGATTTTTATATGGACGATCTTTTAACTGGATCTGATTCAATTCCAGAATTATTAGAATTACAAAAAAATATTGTTAGATTATTGGCAAACTATGGATTTGAACTCAGAAAATTTTTGTGTAATAATAAGGAATTATTAAATAAATTTGAGATTAACCAAGATTTAGACGTTGGTATACTCAATATAGGAGAAAATGAACAAAATAAGACTTTGGGTGTATTTTGGGATGCTAATAATGACCATATTAGATATAAAATAAATGCCACTGAAAATTTTGTCAATAAATTATCAAAACGCACGATTTTATCTTCAATATGTCAAGTTTTTGACCCCTTGGGCCTTCTTGGTCCAATTGTCATAACTGCTAAACTCATAATTCAAGATCTGTGGAAATTGAAGCTAGTTTGGGATGATGAACTTCCTCAAAATTTATTAAATACTTGGAATTCATTTTATAATAATTTTCATGATATAAGTAATCTAAAAATTCCCAGATGTGTAGTTTTTTCTAAATATATAGATATTGAAATGCACGGCTTCTGTGATTCATCAATTAAGGCTTATGGGGCGTGCATTTATTTAAGATGTTTGACTTCAGATGGGAAATATTATTCTTATTTATTGTGTGCGAAATCCTGTGTTGCTCCATTAAAACAGGTGAGTTTGCCACGCTTGGAATTATGCGGAGCATTACTGCTGGCAAACTTGGTGAAAAAACTTATGGTCTTAGAGATAAATTTCAATAAATTTTATTTTTGGAGCGATTCAACAATAACATTGTACTGGATCCGAGGTGAGTCAAGCAGATGGAAAACGTTTGTGGCCAATAGGGTCAGTGAAATTAGGTCTCTTACTAATTATCATGACTGGCATTATGTGAAATCTAGGGATAATCCCGCGGATTTATTGACTATAGGGGAACGACTATAGAAGTTTTAGATAAGTCGAAATTATGGTGGCACGGCCCTGACTGGTTCTCACAAAAAAAATTAATTTCCAATATAATTGAACCTGAACTTGATTCAGATGATCTATGTGAGCAACGAGTTGTGGCCTTCTATGCTATCAGCACTTTCAATGAGATACTATCAATTTTAGAGTACTATTCTTCATTTCGCACTACTTTAAATATTGTAGCTTATATTCTTCGTTTTGTCAAAAATGTTAAATTGAATTCTCAAGAAAGAATTAAGGGTCCTCTATTGCCAGAGGAACTTGAAAAATCTCTATTTTTAATAATAAAAACTGTTCAAATAAAATGTTTTTCGGAGGAATATTCTCAGTAAATGTCAAAAACTAAAAAATTCTAGCAAAATTTTGTCTCTTGAGCCTTTTTTGAATGATGGTATTATAAGGGTAGGTGGAAGAATCAAGCATTCAAATCAATCTTTTGGTAAAAAACATCCTATAATATTGCCACATAATCATTTTTTGACAACACAAATTTTACGATCAGAACATAAGAGGCTACTTCATTGTGGAATCCAAAATTTGTTGTATTCGGTCAGGGAAAATTATTGGCCCATCTCCGGCCGAAATGTATGTAAGAAGGTAGTACGAGAATGCGTTAAGTGTTTCAGAATTCCTCCTAGGAACAATCAATATATTATGGGTGATCCTCCAACGGTTCGTGTTGCTTCACACTGTGTATTTAAAAATGTTGGTACGGACTATGGAGGACCATTCATGTTGAAGAATAGGATGACTCGCGGAGCTAAAATTGTAAAGGCCTATATGTGTCTCTTTGTATGTATATCCACAAAGGCCATACATATAGAGTTAGTGTCAGATTTGACAACGGAAGCCTTTCTGGCTGCATTTAAAAGGTTCGTAAGTAGGAGGGGCATGCCAACCAATATTTATTCCGATAATGGGTCAAATTATAAGGGAGCTAGTAACGAGATCAGTAAATTATATGAGTTTTTATCAAGGCACTCAGAATATATCGCTAATCAAATGTCTTGTGATTATATCAAGTGGCATTTTATACCCGCTTCTCCTCCTAGCTTCGGAGGTATTTGGGAGGCTGGAATCAAATCAGCAAAAAGACACATCAAACGCGTCATAGGTGATACACGTTTGACGTTCGAAGAATTCGCCACGGTATTGACACAGGTTGAAGGTGTACTAAATTCGCGGCCACTTTGTCCGCTTACCCATGAACCGGACGATTTATCCTCATTAACACCTGGACATTTTCTCGTTGGCAAACCACTCACTAGCCTTCCTGTACTAGAGGTAACTAGTATTCCGACCAATCGCCTGACTAAATGGAAACATCTTCAAGCCATGTACCCTAGCATTTTTGGCAGAGATGGCAGAAAGAATATCTGTCAGAGCTACAAACCCGCATTAAGTGGAAGCAGCGCTCTGAAAGTTTAATTAAGGTTGGAACATTAGTTTTAGTGAAAAATGATAATGCTCCACCTATGCACTGGCTATTAGGTAGAGTAATTGAATTGTGCCCAGGTCAAGACGATGTTGTTCGGGTTGTAAAAATAAAAATGAACGATGGTGTTATAACTCGAGCTATTAACCGTATTTGTGCGTTGCCCATTGAATCCTAATTTAATGAACTGTAGTATATTTAGTTTTAGTTATAGGTTAATGTTTATTTGCTGCATAGAAGTTTTTGGTAATGATGCTTAACAGAATTTAGTATAGTTGATAGTAACCTTGTTTTGAGATTGTATTAGTAGAGTAAGTTTTTAGAATAGTATTTATATGATTTCAGTTGATTAGGAGGTTTCTTCATTACGTCTATCTGTGAAATTTGTAATAGTATTATATTTGTATTTTTTAAAGTACTTAGGTACTTTCAAGGCGGGCGGTATGTTAACAGTCGAAACCAGGTAGAAACAAGTACGCTAACAATCGAAACCAGTCGAATCAACTGTGAGAGAATTGTCAGAAATAGTCATTGAAGCTGCCAGAAATATTGTAATCTCCTCCTGATAATTAGAAGAATACTGGAAAACAGTTCCACTCGTGTATCATTTCACAGTCAAAACACACTTGCCCTAAGATGCTCCCTGAAGAAGTTACACCCCTTCAAACGGTAGATGGAAATAATAGATTTTATTTATTTTCAAGAACAGTGGCAAACTATTTTTTTTGAAATTTGGTATTCTCGCATACATTTCGATGTCAAAGCGAATGGTGATAGTAAAAAGAGTCGTACCAGTTCTGAAGTTTCCATAAGGCTAGGGTAGTTAGTGATTCACAAAACAAAAAAGCATCTTAGGGCATATGTTCATACGAACTTTTTTTTCTTATTTTCATATGTAGTATTACCCCTCGAAGTCCGGTACACTATTTTTTTTACACCCTGTATAGATAATATAGAATAAGAGAAATCAAAACTACCCCACAACTTTCCTATTAAAAACACAATTTTATTGAATTGTCTTCCGACTTCATTGCACGTTTTCTCCTGAATTTGTCTATTTGAATATTGGATTAGAGTGTGATCATATAAAACTTTGTATTTTTCAATGATCTGCACAAATTTAATATGAAAACCTGAGTCGTCTTTCATTCATTTTTCTACGGAACCTCTCGCTCGGCCTGGAAAGAAAACGATAAATGTTGTCCGAAAATAAAGAACAGAAAATAGTGAATATCCCAATAAACGCTGTATAGGTAGGGACATAGATTTTGAAAAAGGAATTTGATAAAGTACTTTGCCGCCGATTTGCTACTAAAATTAAACCATAACGGAACAAGAGGCAACCTTCTTGCAGTAATCAGTGATCTTCTCCATGGTAGAGCTTTCCAAGTAGGGTTCCGCTTTCTCCAACAGCTATAAAGTACTCAGTGGTGTGCCACAGGGCTCGGTAACTGATACAACTTTGCTCCTTATACTATATAAATGAAAACTAACTTGACTGTGATCGAAAATTCAACATGTAAATGAGCAAATGAACAAATTATCCAGTATTTTTAAACTGTCAAACACTTTCCCTGCGGCAACTCCTTATTCTGTCCCAGATCGTTATCATTTTCGTACGCATCGATATTAATTTAATCTGTATTAACCACTTCATCTAACTTACTAATTTTGCACGCCAATTTTCGAAAAAATCATTGAAAAAATGGGAGACAGCTCGCCTGAGAACTACTAGCGTACAGAAGAAAGGAGTATTACGAGTTATAAAATAGCGGGTTGCTTGTGAGACGAGTTGGTTTTGGTGTGCTGAGTGAAGTTAACTTAAATTGATGCGTAAATTGATTTTAGAAGAAGCTATAAAAATGAAAGTATAAAGTTTTCTTCATTTTTAATTCAAACCCAGGATAAAATTGTAACAGTATTTTTGAATCTCGAGGAGTTTTGCTGGCAGTAGATTACTATTTAGGTAGGTACCAAAAAGCACTTATTTTCTGGTGAACATTTTATAACGAAAGCAAAAACAGTCTTTTCATTGTCCTTCAATCTTAGAAATAATATGTGGAAACTATTCTGCTATTTTTTTTGGTTTAAATCCTATCTGCTACCTACGGAACTGAAAAGCTAAAATTATACAATAAAACTGCTTGTAGAGAATTTTATTAATAATTTTGTATAAAATATTGCACACAAATAATTTATAGACAACGAATAGCAACGATTTTCTTTTGATCCTAAAGATCCTAAAACAAAAATATTTTAAAATAAATATAGTATACTCATAGGAACTTTTTTTAAATGTGTCATATTCTCAAAGTTAAGAATAAATTTAGAAAATTATGATGATAAAATAAAATAAAATAAAATGTTTCTCTATGCCAATGTCCATGTCCAATTATAGACCTTTATTAGTAATAACCAAGGTTGGGCAAAGCCATTGTAATTGAAAATATGCTTGAGTTCCTTATGGGTAAGAAGTTACTGATTTGCTAAATCCACTGAATCGATAAATGCTTACTCTGTTATCTATGTTACCTGCATTATCTTCATTTTATGGCAATCTGAAAAATTACAAACCGTTGATGACAGTATATTAGTTATATAAATTAAAATTACAAAAATAATGCCAAAAGTCCATTCTCTCTAACTAAGATATAACATCTATTTTCACACAAAATAAAAACATAATAGGATATATAATATATATAATTTCAAAAACAAATAAAAAACCAAATTAACAATTTCTGACAGACATTTTCAGAACGATTTAGAAAAAAAAGGGGAATATGTAGTATTTATTCTCCATAAATTTATGTATAAACTGAAAGTAATGAAATAATAAGGGCAAGACATGAAATATCAATCTGAAAATGTCCGAAGCTCAACTTTTGATGACATACAGGTTGATCAGATACCAATGGCTACCAGCTGTATCTCGGAATCTACTCATTCTTACAATATCTTTGAAGTTAATCACTTTATTGACTTTTGATTTATTATATTTTTTAACTTTTGGCCCAATGAACCGAATTAAGTAAAATTTTTCGAATATTGACCTCTTTCGCTGGACTAAAAAAAACAACATAAAAATAATTTATAATAAAATTTAATGTGAACTAAGTGATCTTTAAAGCAATACATAGATGGTCAAAATCGGTCGAGGCATGACTAAGTTACAACAGTTTGAACATTTCAAGATGTTTTACTTCACCATGTCATTGCTATGGCAACTAGAGGAAATAGAATGTTCAAAAAAAGTTGTAAAGGACTAAAAATACATTCCATCAGGTCTACCTAAGATATTTCGAGAAAACAACAAGTTTCTGTAACACATAGCTGATGCAATATTTGAGGGTGAACTAAGAAACTTGGAAATATTCTCAACTCATATTTGTTAATACATGTTTTACTCAAAGATCGTGGGGCATGTAGATTACGAGCTATCTTCATCTGATCAGCCTGTATATAAATTACACAAATAATAACGAAAGTCCATCTTGTTTAAAATATAGCTCTTTTTTTTTTCACGCGATAAAATTAGGAGGATATAATAATATAATCTAAGAAAAACAATAAATATAAAAACTAACATTACGAGTTTTTTGACAAACAATTTTGAAAAGATTAAAAAAAAAAGTTAAATATACTCATCGAAATGGTCTAGGGAACAAAAGAATACATACCTATACTTATCCAGAAATTTTGTGCTGATTTTATTTATGAAATATTTAAACTAAACGAGGTTGCAAAAAAACCCGATATGGCAAATTTGATAAGATTTATTTAATAAATAATACCCACTTTATCTTTAAAAAAAGTTGTTTTGTCTTAAAATTAAAAGACAGATATTTCTTGTTCCCTAGACTATTTTGATGAGTGTATGTAGTATATGTAGTTATATGTAGTATATGTAATAATAATTGCAAATTAAAATCATAATTAACCATGCTGAAATATCAATCGGAAAATGTCTAACTTCAACTGTTGATGACATATAAAAATTACACAATTTATAGTGAAAGACCATCTATCTTGTCTAAAGTATATCATGTATTTTCCTGCGAAATAAAAATACAGTATGATACCTATAAATAAGTAGGTAATTTTTGAGAAATAACAGTAAATAAAAAAAAACTATTTTTTTTTCTTCATCAACAATTTCTTGACAGACATTTTTATAATAATTTAGAAAAAACAGGGAGAAAAAAAAACATGATTAACTATGCTGAAATATCAATCTAAAAATGTCGAACTTTAACTGTTGATGACATTTATAAATTACACAAATAATAGTGAATGACCGTCTTCTCTAAGGTATCCTGGCTTTTCTTACGAAATGAAAATATAATGGTTGGTAAATAAAAAAAAAGCAATTAAAAAAGAACTTCATCAACAGTTTTTTTTTGACAGACATTTTTATAATGATTCAAAAAACTGATAAACATATAGTAGGTAGGTACTTATTATACATATCATAAACTAAAAATAAGTGCAAATCAAAAACATATGATATTAGCTTTGCTGAAATATCAATCTAAAAATGTCAAACTTTGACTGTTCATGACATGTAGGTGCATATTACAAAAATAATTGCGAGAATAAAAACATAATACTATATAGGTAATTAAAAAAAAACATTAAATTAAAAACGTAGTATTTCTTTTACATTAACAATTCTTGACAGCATTTTGATAATGATTTCAAAAAATTTAAATATAAAGTAGGTGCTTAAAGACCATTTTATCTTAGGTATATCATGTTTCACATAAAATAAAACTATAATACGAAATAGGTAATAAAAAAATAATAAATAAAAAAAGAATATTTCTTTGTTATTGACAATTTCTTGATAGACATTTTCAAAATTATTTAAAGAAAAATGGTACATAGTTAATTCACAATCCAGCGTCAGAGTTAAAGATAATATTTATCTCTTGAAGTTGGTAATTATTTTCTTATGCCTGCGAGGTTACGTGTATATGTATGTATATGTGTCATATTGTGATGACCAATGAACTAGAAGACCACAAAGGGGTCGACGATTGGCGCCAGAGAGTGACAGCTCGGTATTCTAATTTTCGATTCATTTTCGCGAAATAAAAGTGTTTGGGTAGTGAAAATACTTAATTGTGAAAGAGAAAATAATTAAGTGCATCTTGGGGTAAGTCCTCAGAATAAAATTTGAACCCCTGCTTGCCTTAGCATAGCTTTTTCCTGCTTTGCCTTTTTCTAACCACATGATTGTAGAACCAGGGGGCCTTCGGGGGCGTGGCAATATGGACAAAAAAAAGACAAGTAATTTTGTATACAATTTCAGAGATTCTAAACCTTACATGGTTATTGTTGAAAGCAAAAATGAGGAAAATATTGGTAATATGCATCCCAAGAGTATTGGTAGACTTCTAAGAAATAAAAAAATAGGAGGAGTGGAGAAAACCTCCAGAAAAGGTGAAAACAGAGTTGGAATAAAATTTACTGACTATCTTAATGCAAATAAATTTTTAACTAATAAAATGTAATTAGAGGAATGTCTGAATGCATATATTCCAGCTAGCCTAGTCACTTGCAAAGGAATAGCCAGAGGTATTTACAAAGGCTTAGCAGAAGAGGAAATAGTCGAGTATACAAAATCCGTTGCAAATGTTGTCGAGGCCAAGAGGCTAAAGAAGAGAATAACTAAAAATGGGGATAGTATCTATGTAAACACTGAATCAGTGGTGTTTACATTCCAAGGGAAAGTGATTCAAGATCAGTGAACCTAGATTTCTGTGATGTGATGATCTCAGTCTATATAAGTCCACTATTGATGTGTTTCAAATGTTTTGGCCATACGGCCAAAAAGTGCCGAGGCAAACGAAGATGTCCGATATGTGCGGAAGAAGCACGAAGAAAAGGACTGTGAACAAAGCACACCTTATTGCTTATACTGCAACATGGAACATAAAACCACTGATAGACAATGCAAGGAGTCCCTGAGACAAAAAGCAATCAAAGCTACAATGATAACAGAAAACATCTCCTATTTTGAAGCAAGGAATAAACACCCGAAAGGAGATGAAAATATAAGACAGAGAGAGAACTTGGATCATAGAGACTTTCCAGTTCTGAATCCTACAAGAAGAGCTTCAGAAACCAGTAGACCAATTGAAGCGAATCCAAGACATTTATACATATCAACCTCTATGACTCCAAGAAAACCATCATATGCTTCGGCTGCATGTAACCTGAAAAAAAATCCCTGTTCGCCAGGCTACGACAGAGAAATGCACAAAAAATGTCTGATTCCTGCTCCTGCTAGAACGCCTACTCAAAGGAGTACAAGGGAAGGCTCGCCAGTTGGTAATACCTACTCGTTCCAGCCAACACCAATATTAGAGGTTGTAAAACAACTTATTGGCAAAACAACTTCGACCCAAGAGGTGAAAGATGCAATTATGGAGGAAATCCAGAATGCAACCCAGGAATCTGGAGGATCCCATCACGATTTAGACAATCAATTTTGAAAGATGCACACGCTAATGTAGATAGATTTTATTATGAACAAACCCAACATGAAAATAATCCAATGGAACATTAGGAGTGTTTTAAGAAACTTGACGATTTGACTATCTTAATAAATAACGAAAACCTGGATGTTTTATTGATTAATGAGACATGGCTCAAGGCAGACAATGCTGTGAAGGTCAAATACTATGTAACACACAGATTAGATAGAGATGATGGAAAAGGAGGTATTGCTATGTTGAACAAAAAGGACATACCCCACACTAAATGTAACATGAATAATAACTTCAACCAAAGATGCCAAGTCATGGGGATCAAAATTAAAGAAGCTACTATTGTCACGGCGTACTCCCCGCCAGATGTCATACTTTCCCCAAACAACATCCACTATGCCTTTGGAGGAATACAAGCTCCATTCATCAAATAATCCAATAACAAATATAAGAGAGTTAAATAGAGAAGTTGAGAATTATAAGTACTTGGGTGTCATACTGGACAGGAAGTTGAAGTGGAACGAACACATTGAATATGTGATTAACAAGGCGCAGAAAGGAATTAAAATAATGAGAGCAATTACAAGAACCTGGTGGTACGCTGACCCAAATATATTGTTGAACATTTATAAAGGTCTGGTTAGAACCCATTTTGATTATGGCTGTCAAGCGATGTACGATCTAAGCAAGATGAATTCTAGCAAAATGGATCGCATTCAGTACCAGGCCTTGAGAGTTGTGATTGGCTGCATGAAAAGCACTCCCATAATGGCGTTGTTATCTGAAGCGGCAGAAATGCCATTGATAAAGCGAAGGAACTTACTTAGTACAAAGTTGATGCTCAGAAAAGTAGCCATTAGAGGGGACGAGGTCAATAGGGTGATACTCAACTTCTATGCTTGTTACAATCAGGATCCTCTCTATTGACGGACCAAGTGCGCTCCAGCGGTAATGGAGGGGGTGGATTATGTGTTGGCCCACGTAGGAATATTGGAAAGAACGGACAATCTGCCATGTTTCGAAGAGGATATGGCAACTCAACTGCGGACTGGGGGGATTCGAATATACAAAAGTTCAGTCCAGATGGCCAAATCTTATTGAAGCAGTTGGAGGAGGAATACTCGGACCATGAAAAAATATATACGGATGCATCTTTGGAGCTAATATCAACACATTGCGGAATTGGAATATACAACAAAAAAATCTCAATAAAAGGGAAATGCCAGGATCTAACCAACATTTGTTCAGTGGAGGTGCTAGCCATCTATACTGGCCTCAATACGTAAGAGATTGACACAGAAAGTTTTAATTCTAAAAGTGCTATTTTGAAAATTGTCAGAGATGGCATCAACAGAGAGATAGAATCACGTTGAGAACGAGGAAGAAAATATTAGATATGCAGGATGGAGGAAAGGAAATAAAAATACTGTGGGTGCCTAGTCATACAGGCATAACAGGAAATGAAAAGGCACATAGACTTGCTGGAGGAGGCCGAGAGGCAAATGATGCTATGAACAACAATGATGATTTATTCAGAGTAGCTAAGGAAGAGACGTGGAGAAAATGGGCTGTGGAATTTACCGATAAAAGTAGAAATCATTCAATTACAAATTAACAAAAAACACCTTGGTTTGCAAAAATTAAAAGGGCTGATAGACAAAAAACTAGCGTCTTTTGCAGAATCAGAACTACACATTGCCTCATACCTAAACACAAATACAAACTTGGCATGCAGGACAGCGAGTATTGTGAATGTGGTGGAATGGGTGATATAAATCATGTGCTCTTGAACTGTGAGTTAAACAGAAGTCCTACAGATTGGTTGTATTCAAGACTGAACAAGATGATAGGAGGACCGATACAGATGGAAGAAATTCTTGCAAATCCAACCAGCAGGAAAGCAGAGATGGTTATGGATTGTATCAAGAAGTTTGAAGTAAGAATCTGAAAATAAGCAGTAGTTCATGGTTACAGTTGTATTGTAGAGTGGTGCTGTATGATTTAGAAAGCTAGTAGGTGCTAATGCTTATAAAATTTGATTGGTTGTTATATGTTCATTTTTTCAGGCACATATCCTATATACTATCTCTCTGGCGTTTCCAAATTCCCCGCTGTACACGCCACAGCAAAAAATGACCTACTAATCCCCAATTGAAACCTAAACTATTGGCAAGTGGGGTAACCCCACCCCGATGCACAAGTGATACGCTCTGGCTAACTGTTTTTATACGACAAGGGGCCATTGGTTAACAGGAAGAAGAAGAAAACCACAACTAAAGTGTATTTTCATATTTCGAATAACACATTTCTACATTTTCTGCTTCAACTAGTAATCCCAGAAAATTTCGAATCCGCAATTTCTAAACATTTTGTGACGCACCTATGATTAACATCGATTTATACCTGACGATGCCAACCTTCAGTTTAAGGAATATTAACTCTACCATTTGAGAGATTATGGTAAATCTTACCTTTAGTTCTGACGTCGAATTGTGAATTAAGTATTCATTATTAATGATATAATAATTGCAATTTAAAAACATAATTATGTATTTATGCTGAAAAAATAATCTAAAAATGTCTGATCATCAACTGTTGTTTAACATTCAAATATGTAATTTAGTCCATGTAGTAAGTGTCTGGAATTCTATAGTTTTCCTAATTTTAATAGATGAATGCGATTCATTATTTGTTGTAATTTTCTAATTCAAGTAATAAAAATATATGCCAGAAAATTATAAATATTGTGCTTTCGTTTTTCCAGATACTTTCTAGATGGACTATACAGAAGTATTAAATATATAAGGCTAAGACAACAGATTAACTGCCAAGTACGATTCCCCAGTGAAAAAAAAATATATACATATATTTGCCCTGCCAGCTTCTTAGGGTTGCTCTGTATATATATTTTACTCCTATGGCACACAATCCCATATTATATTTCTTTAGGAGAGAGATATAAATCATTTCCAAGCAACAGTTCTAGTGGCGTTCCTTCAAAATTTTCAATATGGAAATGTTTCTTAAGGAGGAATTAGAAAAATAGTAAGTGCTGAGGGAGATTCATCATTATATTTTGTGCTTTTTTCTTCCTACCAGTTGAAATCTGAGAACGTTTTTGAGATAGTTTGAAGGATCTTTACTTGTTTCTAGCAGACGAAACTTTTGAAAAATGGGAATATGCAACTGTGACAACCACCAGACAGTGACTACAAAATATACTTGTAAAGAAATATAGGATTGCATGGCAGTCAACCTGTGAATTAACATATTCAAAAGCGTTTTGTTTTTCCATCTATTTGGTAAAGTTAGAGCCTAAATTTGGTATTAGATATTAAGGGCTTTTTAGTTTTTTTTTTTTTTTACCAAATTTAGGCTGTTTATTTTGTCACTCCCGAGGTCACTCCATTGCTTCCTGAACATGCATTATTTGTTCAGGTAAAGCCAAAGGTAAAGCGTCTGCGGTAATACACCCAAGGCTTTTAAGTTGTATATGGTTTACTGGAGTAAGAAATCGTCTGACTACGCTGAAATATGGTTCAGTGGACTTTTGGAGAAAATGAATAATGTCTTGTACAAAATCGATACTGAATGGATGAGAATAGTATAGGAATATTTCATCTTCTCTGTGTCTTTTCCAAGCGTATTCTCCAAAATCCGAAAAGTTATATAGTGGAGGTTCATAATCTATATTACCCTAAAATAAATAAATAAAAATTATATATTATGTATATAGATTTAAGTGGAGAAAGCTAGGATGCATTCAGATACGAGGCAGTGGGCAGATTTAGTAATTTTTTTTTATAATTTTTTTAAAACCTAAAAACCAAAATAACTATCCTGGGAAAATTCGACTTGTCGTTTATAAAAAATATAAGTTCCTACTTTTGAAGCCTAATTTCAAACTCCCACACACCCGCCGAATATGACGTCAGAATCTCCAAAAATCCAAAAATGAACAAAACCGGCCAGAGATGGGAATGAACGAGGGATCGAGGATCAACTGGCTCGTACTTAATACATCGGAGGGACAAAGAGGCCACTGGATATCAAAATGGCAGAACACAGAACCAACAGAAAAGGAGGGGGCACCGCCAAATCGGGAATGTCTTGTATCCGATAACCAACCCAGAATAAAATGATCACACGCAAAAATAGTAACAACGTCAAAGAGGCAGCACATATGGAAGGGACAAAGTCATTACCAAAACATCGGTCGAAATTCCAAAAAGTTGGAATATTAGGGCCCAACAGTAATTCTAGGAAATCCAGGTGGTGGGTAATGGCTTCTAGGAAGTTCAAGTGATTAACAATCTCCTTTTGGCATATAAGCTTATCCGTTTTACGAAATTTTGTCATTCCCTTGATAATGACTGTCAAAACGTTGTAAGAATAGGCCAAAAGGTAATAGAATCACGTCCTACCGCCTTTAAATAAACGATTTTATCATTTAAAAAAGGAGACAAAAACCATCTAAAGAATTAGAGACATGCCACTACTCAATGTAATTTACAAACTGGAAGTATTGACAAAAATACTAACAAACGGATTGACCATCGAAAGAGAAAAAAAAAATCATTTTAAAAACGATATTTCCTCTAAGCCCTCAGCAGGCAATCAAAAAGAGAAATCAATCTTTATAGACTTTATACAGTGTGTACCTCTTAAGGACTGACCACCCTTCTAAAAATTCTATTTTTCAAAAGATTCAATTCATTTTTTTTTTGTCTTATAGCTAGTCGAATTTGGCACTCTTTAGGCTCATAACTTTATTTTTGCGGCTGTACTGGTGTACAGGGTGTCCACATTTATAGGCTCAAATATCAAAAAGTACTATTAGGGATTTTTTTTAGAAAAAATTATATTATTATAGTATTGAAATAACAATTAGTACATTTGGGTTTTAGACCATTCTAAACAAGAATCTGCTATCAGATTTTTTCTAAAAAAATCCCTAATAGTACTTATTGAAATTTGAGCCTATAAATGTGGACACCCTGTACACCGGTACAGCCGCAGAAACAAAATTATGAGCCTAATAAGTGCCAAATTCGAGTAGCTACAAAACAAAAAAAAATAAATTGAATCGGTTGAATAATAAAAATTTTAGAAGGGTGGTCAGTCCTTAAGCGGGACACACAAGTGCGATCGATCTTGCGTGTCCGATAACCTAAAAGTACATTTTGACATTGGTCACGTGATCACTGTTGTGGCGGCAAATTCGAAAATTTAGATATGGAAACGCGAAAAGTGGGGTTAGATGGCAAAATTTCGGAAAAAGTTATTTGAAAAAAGTGATAAGAACGATGGTTTAGGGCTGTCTGCGAAATTTGGTGGAAAAACAACAAAAAACAGGAAATTACTTGTTTTTCGCCATGGATCTCTTATCAACAAATATTATACAGTTTTTATTATTGGAATAGTCCAAGTACCTCAATAATTGATGTGTATTGGTAAAACAAACTTAAATTCTTCATTGGAATGATTCCTAGAGAATTAAATAAAAATTATCGAGCACATGGGAGTTTTCTGTAGCAATACCCTGTATCTGGACAGTTAAGTAAGGTGTTTTAGAACTGTATTGAAATATTTAATACAAAATCTCAATAACGAATCTTTTCAATTGTTGTATCAACATAAAGTTATTAGAAATCTCAGAAACTGTCAAGATACAGGGTATTGCTACAGAAAAGTTGCATGTACTAGTAGAATATTTTTATTTAATCCTCTAGGAATCGTGTCAATGAAAAATTTAAGTTTGTTTCACCAATACACATTAAATATTGAGGTACTTGGACTATTTCAATAATAAAAATTGTATAATAATATTTGATAAGAGATCCATGGCTAAAAACAAGTAATTTCCTGTTGTTTGTTATTTTCCCTCCAAATTTCGCAGACAGCCCTAAAACATCGTTCTAATCACTTTTTTTAAATATCTTTTTCGAAATTTTTCCATCCAACCCCACTTTTCACGTTTCCATATCTAAATTTTCGAATTTGCCGCCACAACAGTGATCACGTGACCAACGTCAAAATGTACTTTTAGGTCATCGGACATGCAGGATCGATCGCACATAAGAAAAAATTCCATAACCTAGAAATAAAAAATTTCCCCATAAGAAGCGAACATTATAGGGGACACTGTATATCCAGTAACGAACCAGGAAGTCGAGGACACAATAAGGGCTTTGAAAAATAAAAGATCTTCAGGATTCACCGGTGTTCCGGTAATAGAGCCTGAGATAGGGCCTGTTTAGTGGAGTCATTTTTTTTTGTCTGGCATTTTGAGGGATGAATGTGGCTAGTTAGCTGATGAGAATATAGGTGGTTTTAATGCCTGCCACCTGTTCGAAATGTCCACAGAATATTTCGCCGAAAAACTCGACTTCGAACTGGGATTACCGTCTGGCGATTTTTCAGCGATATTTTCACAACAAAACCTTCCATTCTCTCGATTACCAGACAAAAAGTAAACGCGGAAGGTTCTTTTCTTTTCTCTTGGAAGTTGACACTCATCCCCACTTTTTCAGCTATTGAAAAGCATCTGGTATTTTTTATGGGTCAGTTATTTATCAATGTCAATCTTTTATTTAGAAGCCAAAAAATTTGAGATCATTAAATAAAAATTCTTCATGTAAATCAATTTTTTTCTTCTGCAAATTTTCGAACGGGTGGCAGGCATTAAAATCACCCAGATTCTCATCAGCTTAGTAGCCACATTCAGCCATCAAAATGCCAGACAAAAAAAAATGACTCCACTAAACAGCCCCTATCTCACAGTCTATAAGGGTACAAAAACATGCGAGTGGCGAGACCAGTGCACCATTGAAGTAACTACAAATCTCTCAATATCTAATGGGGGTCTATCCAACAATCTTGAAGGTCTCAACAGTTCTACCGGTTTTTAAACGGGGAGATGTGTGAAAAAGGGTCGAAATGGAACATCACAGACCAGTATCAGTGTTGAACATACATACTGTTGCGGAAACCTCCACAACTATTTTTGTTTTATTTAAAAAAAGATTCCATAGCATAATTTTTGTCTTGATACTAGATGGCGTCGCGCTAGTATCAGAACGCCCTGCCTCAGATCAGAAAACAAGCATGGCGTAGAGGGTCCTGCGAGTGTTTTTTTTTTGGTTGTTTTTCGTTTGCCAGTTTTTATGGTTCGTTGTTGTTTCGTTGTTGGGTTGGTGTGTAGCAGAACAAAAAAAGTTATAAGTTTGTCAGAAAAAGAGATCCCAGTTCAATTAAAAGTTTAATAAAATAAAAGTTCTCACTCAAGAAAGAAAGTTGCGCAAGTGCACAAAACCCGAAAAGTTAGAATTACTTCCTCTGATATTTGTCAATATAAATTAAATAATAGGTTTTTTTTGAAGCTCAGCATAATAGCAGAAGTATAATTTTATTCTCTACAAGTAGCCAATCATTTAATTGAACTCAGACAAATATGGAGTCCTCTGCTGGATTGCAGAAAGGTAAGATCCATCCTAGCTTTGGATTGACAATTCTTAAGAAAAGGTTGTTTGGTTGTGGTTGTTTTATTCAAATCACATATATTCTCGAAAATTTTCGAAAGAATACTCTAAGCCAGGATAGTGGACTTTTTGGAAATATATAGTGTAATAGGAAATGGCCAACATGGATTTAGGGCGAATAAGGATTTCAGTTATTCAAATTCAATTATGACGAACTAAAATCAGCTAACGTGATAGAATCAGCCGAGCCTATTAAAATGAAACGGAAAGACAACCAGGGAGATAATATATCTACCTAAGCACTGGAAAATATATCGAAAAAACTAAAATGGGCTTAATTTGGCAATAATATAAACAGCCAGTTCTTAAATCCCTACTAGTAACGGACGAAAAAAAAGCTAAAAGGAATGATTGAAAAACTCATTCATCTGCATCATCTACATCTACAAACTAAAAGTTTTTGTCGATATAATCTTTAAATGTTAAAGATATATTGAATTGAGGAGTATAGTCACTCAAGCTGAATCAAGCTTCACTGCACTGCACCACAGCTTGCGTCAACGCAACAAAATTTTTATAATGATCCTAGATATACGGTATGTATAATGAATCACTTCTGTGTGATGATGACAAAAAGTTTAAATCATAGACCGCTTGAAGAAAAAAAACAAGTCTATCTCTTTCGAGGCACGATGAAGTGCACTGCAGTGAAGCTTGATGCAGCGTAAGTGAGAATACTTCTTTAAATGTAGTATGTAAAATATGTATACAAAAAAACATAAACCTAATCTTACCTCCAAACTTTCATATAAAATACACTGTATTAACAGATAATACAGATAATCTATACCATTAAAGGTGTCACGGGTTGATGTATTATTATACCACATTTCAAATGGTATTTGTATATCTTGCATCATTTCAAATGCAACTGGGTTCTCAAAGCAGTATTGGATTATGCGTTCTAGTGACAAAACACTGAAACAACAAAAAAACACAGATTATTAATTGCTAATCTGTTGCATACTGGATTTCATTAAGGAATGAACTTAGTCAACAATGAAAAATATATCCTTGTGTGTATTATGTTTTCAGTAACTTCATTAACACAAAGATCTGATTTGGATATTGAATTAATTTTATCTATATAGGTACAGAAACGTTGGTAGTCTACATTATATCTACAATATACTTACATAATTTGTTTTTCAATAGGATCGATCTCTGAGAAAAAATCATGTCCCCAGAGCTTCAAAATGAAACTTAAAGCGCTGCCTCCAGAGGGTCCAGGAAGAAAAGACAAATACCTTATAGTCTCATTTGTTTGTAGCATGCAGATGAAAATAAAAATGATCCAATTAGTACGAATCTTCTCCCTATCATGATTGGCACATCCAGTAATTACGTTTCTTAATATTGTTTCATGATGGGGTAGCATTAGTTCAGGAAATGAAAACATTGTTACAATTACTAGTTTCCCCAATACATTTCTTGGTGTTTTTATGCCTTGCTGTATTAGCATTTCTAATAATCTTGGAAATTCACTGAATTGTTCTTTATGTGCTGAATGACTAATAAAATTAATCTGATTTGGTCCTTTGACAATTAAGGTGGTCAATAAATTTTCTGCAGACTCATCAATTGCCGTTTCTCGCTCAGTATTCAACATAAGACATCGCACAGCATTCAAGAACGTTTGTAATACTAAATATTCATCAAGAGATGGCGAATACAGGCAAATTGTATTCAAAATATCAAGAGCTTTATCTAAATTATTGTGCCTCTTATCTGTTGGTGGAGTGTTTATAAAATTTAGTAAAAAATGTATAAATCTATCGTGTTGCACGGTAAATCCTTGCGCCTGGGCCAACTTCACGCAGATAAATACAACTTCGTTCATTATATTTGGGTCATAAATGTGATTCATAGTGATATTGATTAGAATATCTTCAATTTGCTCAATATTTTCCTTGGCTACATCACTATGGGACTAAGAGAAAATATAATTTTTGTGAAATTCAAATAATTTTTTTCTCAACTTACCTTAACTAAATATCCCAAAGTGTTCAATGATTGATTCAATGGAAAATCATTGGGTTTTTTCAAAATGTTTAGTAGAATATTCATTATCTGTTTTACGCATCTGGTAATAATGAATTGTTTGTCAGGTATCATGCTTCTAAATCCTTTGAGGTAATTAGATAAGGCTCTAAAAATACATAAAACGGTACTTTAAAAATACTTTCCACTAGAAGGAAATGATTGTCACTTTCTCCCGGGTAAACAAAATATTATGTTGGCGTCCAAGAAGACTAAAATAAAGATATTTAAGCAACTCTTATTAGACATAAACTCTCAGAAGCCTTTCTAGACAATTAACACAAGTAATCAAAACTGTACTCCAAATTAGGGATGTACCGGATCGGGTATTTGGCCGATCCGGCCGGAAAGGGAATTCCGGCTCCTAACCGGACCGGACCGCCGGAATTCCGGCCGGATCGACAGTTTTCTGCAATTTAATAATAATTTGAAAGGGCGCATTCTTTTTTTACCGGCGAACCTACAGATGAGCAGTCTATCTCTTTCTAGTACATAGGAAATCAAGATGACTTACTCATAATGGAGAATAGCTCGATGGAAAAAAAGATAGCTCGATGGAAAAAAAAAAAGCGGCTAAAGTTTGGTTATGTTTGAGTTTGACTGCTCCTTCAAGTAGATTGGCGCTTCCCCGAGTCTATTTGGATGTCTATTTTCAAAACCGGGGAATAGCGTTCTCATGAGAACGATTGCTCTGTCTTTGTTAGTGTTATGGAAATATGAATATGGCTGAAGAAGACAGAACCTTCGTTCTCATGAGAACGTTTCTCCCCTGTCTCTAGAATAGGGACCACAGACATCTGACTCGAACTCTTGTGCATGTAAAACTTAAACGATTTTCAGTCCAGTGTAGTTGCAGTTGTTTTGTGTTCCTGTGTATCCAGCTAAGTTAAAAATGTCAAAAGTATGGAAGTTTTTTGAAATCCATACCTGAATTTAATGTTTATGTTTAAAAAAAATATTGTTATGGTTTACAACTTTAATTTTAATAAAGTTCTAAGTATTCTTCTTGCTTTCCGCTTATAAATTTATTATTTAACCTATTTTAAAATTTTCGAAAATTCCGGCCGGATCGCGGTTGCGATCCGGCCGGAACGGTAGTTCCGGGCTATAGGCCGGATCGGCCGGATTTAGTGGTACCGCCAGAATTCCGGTACATCCCTACTCCAAATAGCAAAAAATGTGAGGCTTGCAAGCCACTTTTCAGAAAATAACTTTAACCTTTAATCGATTAATTTGGCAGGTAAATTTTTTAAATTGATTTTAAACCAACTTTTCAAAGATGCAGTCATCATTTTCTTTTAAAGTCAAAGGATAAAATGCAGATGCGGACCAAAATATCATTATAGGAAGAATTCTTGAAAGGTTAATTTTTATGCTTATACCCAACTAAAAATATGCAACATTCTCAATTCACTTACTCTCCAGATGCTACAAGTAAATTTTCATTGTCTCCTTCCAAATTAGCCATAATAAAATTAAAATGACATTCCATGACACTAGTGGTAAGTTCTGCGCAATAAATACTCCCTATCCATAAGATTCTGCCTTGTAGCATAGCGTCACAATGTTCCAATAAACTAGTCCAATAATTCAGATAATGCTTCAATGGAAATAATAATTCATCATTAGCAACATAAGTCTCTTGCACAAATGATGACCCAAGTATCATAGATTCAGTAAGCCTCGACATGAAGTAAACTTTATGAGTGTCATTAGTTTGTTCAATTTCTGTGTTGAATCTTTGAAAAACATTGTGCATACTTTTAAAGAATAATGCCTTTCCGTTTGGTAAACGACTCTCAATTTTATCAAGGCTGCACTAAAATAATATTTAGAAATAAAATTACATATTACAAATCAGTTTTCATCAAAAGTATCTGATAATTAAATCCCTCTAATGTTTAATTTTGTTTCTGTTCAAACTAGAAAATTTAATAACTGTGGAAAATTCGAAAGCCAGTTTAATAGGATTATAAAACTACATACTGTTGATGAAAATAGCCCTTCTAAAAATAAATATAGGGGAAAGTTTGCCAAAATGGGATAGCTAACGTTATTTGATCTGAAATTATTTAATTATGCTCTAGATATCTATTTTTTAAATGTAACTTCCCCATCGACACATTTCAATGTTCAAGTATAGTTATTCCTGGATTTCTCAATTATAACATAGGAAAGTCATTTTTTAAAAGATACTAAAGTGAAATATATTTCTTGAGCTTGAAAATCGAACACAGTATATAGGCCTTATAACGAGTCTTCAAAAAAAAAAAACAAAGATGGCTATGGTTTGTCTTAGCAATATTTTTCTTTAATTTTGTCATTGAATTTTGTAATGTCAAAATGTCATGTCAAAAATCCTGACCAATAAAAAAAGAATAATGCGACTCTTCGATTCAGTTTTTTTTTGAAAACAAAAAAACAAATTACCGGTTCAACACCAACAGAATTCGCACAAGTACGGCTCACTATCGTTTTCCACCCCCGCGCAAGCTTCGTGAGCATGGCGCGAGTATATATATCAAATGACATATATCGTGATATATATCGCGATATTTATTTTAAAAATATCACGATATTTATATCAAACGGTTATTTAGTTAAGCTGTCGGTTAACCAATGATAATTATCATCTAACCAACAGCTAAGCTGAATAACCGTTTACTTAGAAACCGGTCCTGAGAAAGAAAATGTTCAACAATTAGGAATGTTAGGATAGCAAACCAAATTGCTATACCAAAGAAAAAGCTGGGTTACATTGAACTTTTTATGAAAATATCATAAATATCACATATTGGATATATATCCGATATATATCATAAAATATCGGATATTTTGATATTTATATAAATATCATGATATTTTTGCGCCCTGTTCGTGAGCCTAAACTTGACAGTCCTGGCGCATAACCCAACTGTCGTCGGATAGTACCCATTTTTAACCGACCGCTTCGTATCCCATTTTTGTCGGACATGTCCAAATGTTTTTCACAATTACCCAAAAAAATAAAAAATAGGTACCTGTATACAAAGTTGGACAGTGCTTTGATCCAATCAATTATAGGCCCATATCAGTGCTTTCCAGTTTTTCAAAACTTATGGAAAATTTGGTAAAATCTAGGATGGAGGATATCATAAACAGAAACAAAATAATGCATCGGGGACAGTTTGGATTCCAAAGAGGACAAACACCGTTGACGCTGTCTACAGCGCAATCCAGAAAATATACGGAGCCATAGATAGCAATAACGTAATCACAACAATGTTTTTTGATTTTGAAAAAGCCTTCGACTGCGTAAATCACGAAATCCTTCTTGGTAAACTTGAGTGGGACGGATTCAGGGGTGAAATCAACAACTGGATAAAAAAGGAGCTTCTTAAAAGACCGCCAGCTACAAATACAAATTACGGATCATGAAAGCAACGATATTAGATCAAAGAATGGGATAATCAAAATTGGGGTAGTCCAAGGTTCCACACTGGGGCCTTTACTGTTCCTACTATTTATAAGCGACCTACCTACCTTGTCTGTCATGGCTACCTTCACACTCTTCGCGGATGACAGCACTGCAACATGGTGCTGTTCCGATGAAGACGACCTCCATAGCTGTATACAAAATGATCTCAACCAACTACAAAATTGGTTCGATATTAACAAAACTATCTGTCAAGGTTACAAAAATCAAGTATATGAATTTTAGTAATAAAGCCTTACGAAATTGTACCATGAAAATTGCAAACCATATTCAACGAGCAGTCACACCCGTATGCACCGTATGGCCTTGGGTGTTTAATCTTGCTTAGTTCAAAAATTTGCATATAAAAAAGAGGTCCAAATCTGGTTAACTAATCTGGATTAAGTCCTTACGGTGCATTTGGGTGTCAGAGAATATAAGTTTCTTGGAATAATGCTTAAATGTCATCTCAGGTAGGATATCCATAAAAATCTATAAGCAAAGAAGTTGGCTTCAGCTTTGTTTGCAATAAATACCACAGCTACTTATATTAACACAATGGCAGCAAAGCAAACCTACTACACTCTATTTGAGAGTCATCTACGCTATGGAATCATTCTTTGGGGAAACTCCACAACATCAAATATGGAACTAATTTTTGTTATGCAAAAGCGAGCCATACATATCCTGAAAGGCATTAGAAGCCACACCACACATTGTAAGCTACTTTTCCGAGAGCTCAAGATCCCCAGCATATAAGACCTTTGTATTTATGAAAGCTTGCGTTTTATACATGGAAACATCATTTTATATAATAGACGCATTTCTACAGTACGCGACAGAGCAACACCTTGAGCCTTTCTCAGTCCAAATCTTCACAGGCCAAGAATACGATATTTTATCAAGGAAAAGCATTTTATAATAAACTGCCACAAAAAATTAGAGAGCTAAATCTGCATTCATGCGCTAAAACAATTAGAAGATTTGTGTGTAATTTTTATTTATATTTTTTTACCTTATTTTAAATTTAACTCTAGGCTTAACTATTATGTTATACAGCATGTATTGCTTATTTAATAAACATGATTGATTGATTGATTGAGGTGACATATTCACAAATGTCACGAAAAACAGTCAATTATTTACAGAATCATAAAAAATACTCAACATTTATAATTTAATTTTTTTTTTCAAACTGAAAAATTCTTGATTAACCACGGATAAGAACAAATACTCAGTTTTTGGAGCTGTCACTTGTCACTCACCACAAGTCAAAAATTAATCAGAATATTGACCTGCCATATTTAAAGAAACGTTATTTATATCGATTAACACTAACGGATGGCGCTGCTTATTTTGAAATATTTATCCCGTTTTATCCGACTATCCTGTTTTGGCCAACTCTCCCCTAAATTGATATTTCAATCTTCTAACCAAAATTTAATAGGGTTAGGAGATCTTCACGCATATTATACAGGGTGATTACCAGTGGATGGTCTATCAGACGCTTACGGAGAACTGAAAAAGATGCATTTTTCAAATTTGGTATCGATCCTTAATAGGAGATGCAATAATATACAGACTATTCTGCTCAAAATTTCCATTCGTTTCTCGTAGAAGTGCAACATTGCACCTGTGAAAATATTTTTGAAAGATAGACCATGGCGTATATCAAATTTGAAAAATTTATTTTTTAGTTCTCCATAAACGTCTAATATGTCATCCTCAGGTCACCCTGTACAGTATATTTTGTATAATAATAAAATGACAGGAAATCAAATTCTAGTTTGATACGTTAAATCCCCAAAGACAGTAAGACAATGTACTTAATTATAGAGTGATTCGAAAAATTTTCTCAGGCAAGGAAACTTTGGCTGGGTGATCAATCTAAAGGGTCTGACACAAAATAAAATCTTTTGCACATTCATGTATCCTATTCGTTTTAAATGAAGAATTTGTAAATGCCGGTCCAAATTATTTTTTTTAATGATAATGACGAGGATAATGAGATAAGAATTGAAAATAATAATAAGTATTACTTATTATTAAAGTTTCTATATAGGACCAACTTATGCAAACTATTTTGCTTTTTAGAATGATATTCAGGAATCGGCGTGTACTAGCACTTCCCAAAGTTTGCAAAATTCTGAGAACCAGATTTCGAGAAATGGCTTTTCCAGACTTTTCTCCAACTCTATTTATAGGTTTATGATTAAAAAAAACTACTTACCTTTAAAACCTTTCCACAAGTGTTCCTGACACACACATTATAATTGTTCATCTCATTATGATTCAAGTCATAATCATAAGCCATAAAAATATAGACACAATAAATGAGCTTATCCAGATCTTCAATTAAAACTTCGAAATATGTCTTGTTAATTAGTGAAAATATAAATTTCAACAAGCCATTAATTAATCCAAAGAAGGCTTTCGGTTCTTCCTCACTTTCATCTGAATCAATTGGTGGTTTTTCAGAAACCCTTATTATGTTCTTATATTGTTCACAACAAACGGTCAGTAAATTACCAATAATCGGAAGCATGGGAGGAATCATTATGTTATTATATGCAGCAAATGTCGAAATAGAGTAATTAAGGTACTTAAGTAATTCACTTTTGAGTCCATATTCAAAGTTTGCAGAATAGGGTTCGTTTAAATTTTTTTCTATCTCCTCAGTAAATTTCGTAACGCAATCTTGAAGGTAATTTTCATCTGGGCATAAATATTTCATTATTGAAAACATTGGTCGGATTGTAAGAATTCGGATATTTAGGGAAATATTTGTCTAAAAATGATAAGCCAAATAATAATGGTTGACCAAAATCTATGCGTTGATACCCTTTCGCTCACGATTTTTTAAATTATCATTTCAATTATGAAAATTCGCGATCAAATGCTTAGAAGAACAAAACTGGAAATTTGAAAAAAAAAAAAAGATTTATGTTTTACTGATTTGGCATAAATTTGAATTAAAAATAAATTAATATAACCATAATCTAATATTGTAACTTTTGATTGTTTCACAAAATGCCATCGTGTGCAACAACTACGATTGCCGTTTGTTCAATCTCATGAGAGATAAAAAATGACCTGGCACGTTCAGCTCGGAGGCAACCAGAAAACAGCAACAAAGACATTTAACTGTCGCGTAGCCATTTCATATCTCGGTAGGTAACTCCCCTACCTAATTTAGTACCTAGGTACTATTCCTTGTACTACACATCATAATATAAGATAATTTGACCCAAATTTCACCACATTTTCCATGGATGATGGCTTTATTAGTTTATCTGTTTCTTTATCTGATGCCGTTATAAGTTATATCAATCTTACTTTTCTACTTATCTAAAGCAATACAACAAAAATGTATTATTGATGTCTAGTTTATTCTAGATAAAAAACGTCCTTAATAAAGGCTCAGTGAGCGAAAGGGGTAAATTACTTTAATTCGCAAAAATAACGTTCACTTACCTTGTTTAAAACAGCAAGCAATAAATCAAACAATTTATAATCAATTGTGCAATAGTGACTACATTTTAAGAACCTACTGTCCGTAGCTTTGTAAATAATAGTTATTGCAACTCCCACTTGATACGGGTCTCCACTTAATAGCATGTCATTTATCAACGATCCTATGCTATTCCAAAATCCCATGGATAAAAGTGCAGCAATGCAGTAGCTCACAATTTCCGTTATTTTTGAATCGTTCAAAGACATATAGGGTAAAAGTTTTATTGTCATGATTCGGCCTATGTCGGATTCACCAAAGTTATATTTTTTTCCACCACATTGATTTGCTGTATCGTCCAAATATTTTTTTAAAAAAACAGCAGCTGTATAACGTTGAGACATAGATTCTCCTTCTGATCCTATTATTTTGCATAATACCAGAGGATATTCTGGAAATAAAATCTTTAAATAGTAAGTAAATAAAATTATAATCTCTGATGGGACAAACATGCACTTGAATTTTTTGGGAATCATGGAAAATTATTGCAATTTAACAACTGCAAAGGAAATGTAATTATTCTAGATAAATGTAACAATAGTCGGGTAGGCAATATACGTACAAAAAAGGGTTAGTAAAAGTTATAATTTAAAAAAAAATCAGCCCATAACAAATTTGTTTTCATTCTGTTTTTTTTTGTGGTGCTTCTAGGTTCGTTGTGAGTTTATCACAATCCTCAGGGGACCCGTTTAGGGAACTTAGTTTATGATCATATGCAGAAAGAAAGGTGTGACTGCTAGCAACCATTCATGTACGGGGTGAGTTACTAAGCGCGCGGTGGTCCATATAGAAAGTTGTCACTGCTGGGGAAACATACATATACAGGGTGAGTTACTAAGCGCGCGGTGGTCCATATCTCCTATACTAACGGAGATCGAAGAAAAAATTAAATACAAAACTTGAAGATAAACATGAGTACTAAGTACATTCCTAAATTATTTTCGAGTATACAGGGTGGCCAAATAAGTAGTGGTGACACCGAGGCTGACACAAAGTTATGTTTTTTTAAATGACTCCCCCTGTATATTTTCACGACAACTTCCCGCAATACCTGTACATTTGGCCTGAAATCACTTGCAATCATCTCCGAAATCATTCTGAAATCCCGCAGTCAATTCGCAATATTCGAAATCCTTCTTGCAGTCCCGAAATCGTTTTTCGCATTCGCTGAAATCCTACTTGCATTCCCGCAGTCACCTTGCTCAAAATATCAACTCTGGTGGGGATAAAAAATCAGCTGTTGATCGAGATTTTGCGCGTTTTTGCGGTAAATTGATAATTGAAATCAAGTTTTTTGTTTGTGTTGCTCTCATTTTCGAATTCAGCAGTTTTTTTTTTTGAAGAATCAAATGCTGGATCTGATGTGGAACAAGTGGAAATGTCATTACCCAATGAAAAATATTATGCAGCTCTTTATGATACCCGGTATATTGGGCATATTTTAGAATCATCATACAGGGTGGCCCATTTTCCATGTTTTAATGGGCTTATATCGAAAACCAGCAGATATATCAAAAATCTGGGACCACATTGGCTAACTTGATGCCAGTGGAATCCAGTGGCATGACCAGTTTTGTTTAAAGATGCCACCGATTTTGGAATAGTAACCTTCTTGTTAAGTTGTGTGCCTTTTTTGAATGGGTGTATTATTTTTTCATTGCATGGCTCTTTTTGAGCTAATTTCAATGATAAAAGCTTTTATAGCTTTATCTTTGATAGTTTCAGGTTTCAGTTTAGGAGGAAAAAAAATCAGTTTGCCTCCTAGGGAACAATGAATTAGAAAGAGATTGTTGAAATATGGATGAATTCTTAATTTAATTTTTCAGTTTGATTAATTTTTTTTTTTCAAATTTGAACTATGAACTGGGGGTGATAAATAAACAGCACAATTTATTTAATGACTTATCACTTTTTAGCTCATTGTTTCTTATGGATAAACGGAATTTATTTTTTTTCTCGAAACTATTGAAGGTTAAGCTATAAAACCTTATATCATTGAAATCAGCTCAAGAAGAGCTATGCAATCAAAAAATAATATGGTGTATCCCATTTGAAAAACCACAACTTTGTTTAATATTCCAGAATGGTAGGCACCTGGAAAAAAATAGCCATGCACTGGATTCTACTTGCAAAACTGCTTCTAGAAAGTATTTTTGGTTTTTGGATATCTTGATTAATGAAGAAATTAGAAGCTCTTTTAAAATTGGACAAAATTCGAAAAATGCCCTGTATTTCCTAAACGCATCAAGTTAGCTGTGATTTGTCCTCGCCATTGTTATTTTCTCAAATAAAGAGCTTGAGGATGTGCTCCCAGATCGAAAAATATTCCGCAATCATATTCGCAATCCCAGAAATAGCCTTGCAATCCCTAAAATCACCTCGCAATCTGAGATATTAGTTCGCAATCCCTCCTGCAGTCACTGAAATCGCCTCGCAATGCTCCGAAATCGGAAATTTTTACTGCAAACATTTGGAAATTATAGGATTTCCACAATACATGTTTATATTTTTCGGGAGTGGTCGCTCCCTCGATTTTCACATTTTCGAATTTATGTACTTTAATTTCAAGTAACTTCTCCTAACGACTTCTTATACCTATCTGACGCCGTTATCGAAAAAAAAATTGATTTCTAAAATTTTAGGCAAAAAAATTACTTGGAGAAAGATGCAATTTCACGCTTGTTCAATGTAATAAAAAATTGAAATTTGTTGCATGATTAAACAAAATCCAGAGGAACTACAATGTTGCTAAATCTCCGCAATAATATAAAAGGCGTCGTAAATCTAATGACTAATGAATTATTCATAAAAACAATGATAAAAGTATCAAAAACTTGCTTATTTCAAATGGGATGCATAGTTTATTATCATCACATTGGAATGCTGATAAAATTCTCTTTCTGCCTATGTTAATGTTCCTATACGTATCTCTTATCGTGACGGAATGAGAAGCATTTCTCAAAAAAATATATTTTATCTCACAGGATCAACACGAGGAAAACAACATTCTTATTTCACAAATAATAATTCTTAGGTCTGCAGATAGTATCCACCTGAAGAAGACACTGTGTGTCGAAACATCGTAACATTAAAATGATTTGTGAACATTTAATAGTCTTTCTATGACCTATATAACCAGTAGTTTTATCAAAACTTGAAACTAAGCACGAGAAGAAACAAATGTGAAAAAGGCAAATTATACAATTCTACAGTCCAAGATCCAAAATGAATGCTCAAACAGATTAGTTAGAAGTCACCTATTAACGATTCATCACACATCACAACCTATCATTTCAAACTTTTTGCTGAATCCTCGGTTGAATCAGATTACTAGAAAATCTTCATCATACATAATTTCAAATTGGATGGTAGCATCTTGTAGAGGAGAAAAAATGGCAATGATGCCAGGCCTTTATTTTGCGATATCATTTCAAAAAGAGTCAGGAAAAAATAAAAACGATTTCGGCAAAATTCGGTTTTTTATGGAAATCTTCAGAATCATTCGGAATTTCCGAAATATCAAAACATGACGCCACTGAGCTCAGTAATTCGCAACTTTTTCCTAATTTAACCAACCCTTTATCTCTTATGGTTACAGAGATCCCTGTAGAGCGCATCCTTATCCGGGACACCCCGTATATCAACAATTTCAGAAAAAATAGAACGAATACGTAAAGAATACAATTTCATTTTCGAATAAGCTTTATTGCCCAAAAATTTCACAATTTCATTGCCAAATTAATTTTTTCCATAAGTTCGTTAAGTACTGTTCATCTGTTGCCCCATAGCGGTACTGAAAATAAAATTAAGTTGGTTTGTAAACCAATCGTAGATAAAACATCAAATATCTTCAAGTCAATTTCACTCCCGCGACGTGCATTCTGTAAACCACCAGATATTATAACAAAATCTTTTCTTGAGAAGTCTTTTGTCAAAACGCGAATATGTTTTATAATGACTTCCAAACTTGCATTGTGCTTAACAATGGTAAGTATGTCGTAATTTTCCTTTTCGTGAAATTTTAGGAATTTAAAGAGATCCACAACTGTACTAGTATCTATTATAAGCACTTGATGCTGTTTGTGGATTTCTGTAGGTGTTTTGATGCATTTTGTTGGGGTCAAATTGTCGGCAGTATGTTGAAAATTGTCGAAGTTTAACATTTTCAATTTTTTGGCCTCCCTTTCCACTTCAAGAACCTTGACCGATGTCCTTAGTTCACTATTGGCTGACTTTATTTGATTTAGCATTTCCTGTTCTGTTCTTTATTGTTGGTTTTCGCAATCTGAAAGCTTTCTTTCAAAGATGGCATTAGCATTTTTTAGGTGTTTTATTTGCTCTACCATTTCAAGCACCGTTCCAACAATGGTTGAAGCTACAATGTCGGTTTTTGTTCCCAATGTCTGTTTCTGTAATATCATCAATCAAGCATCCTGCGGTTGTACTGATTTTGGTTTGGGTTTCTGGTTTGGTTTTTGAATCCTTTATTTTTGATTTCAGTTCTCGAATCATAGTCTCACACTTTATTTTTCGCTTCCAGTTGTGCAATTTTTTTTCTTGTAGTTGTATTGTCTTTAGATCCACTTTCCTTGTTTTCTGCATTTCGCCTAAATGATGTCGTGCACACCTCAGAGAAATAGCCTTTCGAGATATAAATTCCAGAAACCTAACTTCTGAAGCACCTTCACAACTCCTGCACGTGATCGTGCGACAGTGGTCACATGCGAATCTAAATACATCATCACTATTTTTTGCAGGTTCCCTAAAGACGCAATCTGTGCCGCATTTCAAACATTTTTGGGGCATATTGATTGATTTTGATCTTATATATTCCAACAATTCTTCAATATTCTTTATTAGTTTAAAAATGAATAATTTTTTGTTGTGCTGGCTCATGGAATTTATTATTCTTATCGATTTTATGCGGTCATAAAAATAAGGAATAAAAGTTTTTTAAATATTTCAGATACCATTAAATATCATTTTTTTTTTTAATTGTTACTGGGGACATGGCAAACTGCTAATTTTACCCATTCAGACCACCAAACACGCGTGTTTGACAAAATTACACTTAAAAAAAAAAACGCTACACAAACGCCGAACTTTGAGAAACACGTCTTGATACGCCGACGATCTATTAATATCTTACGCACCATTTTTGAAACACAAAATACAATGGGATGAAACAATGACCAACAATTTACCTCAAGCATTCTGACAAAGGACCCTTTTTCCAAAAGACGTAAAATTAAAGAGAATGCATTCATTTTATTAAATAAAGACAAATGTCTTGCTTCATGCTCAACATCATTTAGCAAGACTTCTTCCTTTGCTTGAATCAGGGGTAAACCAAGGTAAACTATAGATTAATTATTGAAAATGTTAACTGTA